ATGGGGCAGGAGACAAAGGATAACGTCAATTGGTACAAAGCTCACATTAATTTAAGCGGAGTCTGGTGTACGAAAAGCAGTGTGATTCCACAAGTAAGCTTGTGATGCAATGTTGCAACGTGAGGTTGCCCAAAAATCGATAACGGGAGCGCCGATACCTAATCAATGCCACATGAAAAAAAATTAGCACATACAGGGCTTTGCGATAACATCTTGCCGCAGTCATTGATGCAGATACAGGACATACGAAACTGGATACCCAAATTGATCCACCTCTTCAACTACCCAAGCAGTGTAAGTAGTTTGCAATGATTCAGTTGATGTTTCGATGACCCGCGCAACAATCGCAGGTTCTTATCAAATTCTCAGAACGATGATTTCATGTACAGAATCAAGGCTCTGTCGGAAAAGCTTGCAGCATCTTCCAGAAAGGTGACAAATTTTGACGAATAAATACTAACAAAGACCCGACATGTGGGTGAGCAGTAACCAAGACCGACCCGTAGATGCACATGCAAGATTTCAATACACCCTCGATTGAACATATGAAATTTTGTGTAAAGTGATAAACATTGACTGTATTTATTCGTAGCCCTAGAACATCCCGCAACATTCACAGGTTTTTACAAGTGTTCATTGAAACTAACCCAGGTTGGTGATGCTACAAGATATGGTTGGTACCCGATGTCACTAGCGTTCTTGTTGCCAATCTCTCTCCAGAACCAAGGTTAAACTTCAGCTGCGCCTTGGAAACTTGTTTCCGGGAGTTCAATTAGGCTTAGGAGCTCAGAATGATCTGGTGGTTAAGGCTAAAAATTACTGACGGTGTTTCGAATCCTGTCTCGGCTTCTCGACTATTCCTTTCCAGGCTTGGGCTACCCGGCGATTGCTCAACCCTTGTGCTTTCCTCTGGCAATATGGTGGCTGCATACCAAAACGATACTGCAGCTGAAGCATTACTATGTTTATTATTATGTTCCCAATGTTAGAACTGATGTTTTGTCACTTTGGATTTCAGCAGATTGTGTTCGACTGTAGTGCTGTGAGGGTCAGACAGGTGAAATTAATCGAATTTCTCTGCGGAAAATTAAGCTTTTTAAATTAATCGGACAGAGCACATATGTCGATACAAGCACCAGTGAAATGCATTTTGTTTAACCGGCACAAGCATGAAAATATATCGAGACGTTGCCAACTCGAGTGACTTTACAAGTTATGGATCATCTGGTTTCTGATCTCTCATTCAAGCCAGAAAATGTCGATTTCAAAGGTCTTGTTGGTACTGACCTTCCGCTTCCTATGCTAATGACAGCGAAACGCCTGTAAACTAAGTATCAGGCTGAGCACTGTTCATTTTCTTGGGTCATTGGCTAGGCGTACCGCAAGCGAACGACTGACAAGCTATGAGTTTTGCCAGAATGGAGATTATATTGAGCATGGTTCCTTAAAAGAAATAATGAACGTTTGGTTATTTGTTCATTTGCGGAACTTGGTCGCAAGTGCGAACTAGGTTAGGCTTCAATCCATCGGGATAACAAAGAAATAAGAATTAATCCTGTCCGATTGGTGTCAACAAATGATTGAGCACCCCAGGGCAGGTAAGGTGACCAACAAGTAAATCACAAAATGTGTTGGGGCTAAAATAGGAAATCCGTCATTCGGCGCGCCGGTACGCCCAAATACTCAACAATGCACGTACTGCTAGCTAGAATTTCTGGTGGCCAGCCAATATGTAACTTGGAATCTCAGATATCCAGTGGTTCCTCTAACCACTGTTCTGTGATAATTTCCCCCGCTTTTTCATAACATCCGGCCAACCAGTCAACGGTTGCGCTGGCTTTCTCGTGGATAAATCAGATTTCCAGTCGTTGCCGGCGGATCTGGTCGAGTCAGATTTCAGTCGTGCGACCAGCGTCGGGTTCAATGGCCCAACTTTGACATCTCTTATGCACTGAAGTGTCCTACCCTTCAGAAACTCAGACATACAAGCATTAAGGCAGATCAGGCAATCCCAATGAATTGGTATTGTGGAGACCGACTTCTTTCTACTAACGTCAGAAAATGCCCGAGTTCACCTGGCTGTTGGAGTCCGGAAGATGGAAATCGCTAAACCTAGTTCATACTCGATGGTGTGGTGCATCTAGTCAGGGGATGTTACGCATGCCGAGGCTTCTGATGTGCCGAAGCGTTTAAATGAAAATTTTTGGGCCAACCTCCTTAGTACGGATGCGAAAAAATTCATAGCTGTGTTTTAAATAGTCTGTTGAAATTTTTAGAGGACCCCCCTCCACTAAATCAATCTCCGTTCCTTTCCTTAATTCGCCTACAGAACAACCAGGTTAAATTTGCGCCATGAAATGCTGATCAGTAATGCGATTAGCTCTCGTTTGCACTGGATATAGCGCCAATCGTCGTTCAGTCACAGAAACCAACTCACATAGTCACATAATGTTGACAGGCTCCTCCAGTAACGACTTATCAAAACAATGTTTCAGTCAGCATATAAAACCATCCTTCCTCTGATATACTCATAGATTGATGATGAAGCGGTGACACTACAATTGGGGCAGGCATGAGAGTAACATGCCCTCTTGCTGTAAATTCGCTAGAAAATGGAGATTTCTGCGGTATACGTGGACTCGATTTGTACCATTTGCTTGGACTTGGGCAACTCCCAATGAACCTCTAGTATAGTTCGACAAGACGCGTTTAAGGGAAGATGCATGTTTAGTTTTTCTAATTTAGATGCACATGAGATCTCTGCTTTCCTGTTCAACAGCCGTAACTAGTTAGATGACATTATGTAACAAATTGCTGCGCAGGAAGGCCTTCCACATTTAGTTTCGTGCGGTGGCCAGGATAAGTGTCAAGATTCCGCGACCACAACACTTTTACGATGATAAAAGTTCGGACCTTCCTGGAGAAATTTGAGGAGGTCGCGGATGCCGCCTGATTGGAGACCGACCGGAGTAAGTTCGGAACGCTGAAGATCCTCCTCTAGAGCTGGACGAATTAGGCACTGCATGCCGCCAGATTATGTTCTTGGAAGTTGGACTGGGCCGCCGCGAACGACGACCTTGCATTGGAAATCTACACGTCGGCCGACCTCCTGGAGGCTAAGAGGCGGTTCAAGACAACCAGGATGGTAGCTGGATCTGCTCCCTCCCTGTTCTTTGCCGACAATCAGCACACGTTGGGTCCCGATTTGCGGGCCTGTACCTGGTGTCACGCAACCAGTCGCTTTCCGACCAGTTCGTCAAAAATGTGCGCCTGGTACCCAATTGCAGTTGGCAGTGGCAAATGACCAGCTGAGTGTGGAGGAGCTAGCGTGAGTTCCTCGAAATCTGCCCGAGGGACAAATAGTCGCATTGAAGTCGCAGGAGAAGAGAGATCGTTGACCAGTGGAGGAACTGCAGACCAGAGTAGATTTACTCGAGAAACAGCTTGGAGCCGTGAAGACGGAATCGCGGGGTACGTTCGAACCAGCCGGTGCTTACATGTGTGGTACGTCTGGCTACTGGAAAAATCAGTGTCCCCGTACTCGATCACCTGCAGCTGATAAAAAATTTTGAGCGCTCCTCTATTCCCGGGTAGTCGCGATTAGCGCATTGACACAATTCAACATACAGGCCATTATCGAGATGGGCGGAAAGAAGGAGTTGAGTTTGATTGACACATGTGTAGGCGTATCTTTGAAGCGGAGTACGATCTAAGCTGAACACGGTCCGTGCGCGCTATCCGTGAGAGCTGTTGGCGGATATCGATTGAAGATTGACGGACTGTCAACGCACTCTATACGCCTAGGCGACAAGTTCGTGCATCTTGCGTTCTTGATCAGCCCAGCTATATAACGGACAATATTGGGAGCAGATTTTCTCTAAAGCACAGATTCCGTGATTGAACTAAATCAAGTAAAACCGGTGACAAGGTATGGCGCAATCAACCTTGACGGTTATGCAAGCACTGCCGTGAGTGAGTTGCGTGTCCGAAAGCCTCTGCCTTGTAGCGTACCGGCAGTACGTTTCGTGGTCAAGGAATATTCCGAACTGTTCACGGGCGAAGAAGATCTATTTGGTTCCTGCGCGTGGATTGAACACGAAATTACCCTGTCGTCAGAACGCCTTCTACATTAAGACCTCCGGCCCGTTGGCGCTTAATCTGCTGGAGGATGTGCATAAACAGCTTGAAGAGGTATTAAAGAATTGCATTATTGAAGAAGCCAATAGTGCGTACAACTCTCCGGTTGTGCTTTTATGGGAGGCGAACGGAAAATACAGTTGTTGCCCACAAATCGGGTTGTAGCTGTGCCTTCGAATTCTGAGATTTCTGATTGCCCTCAGCATTCCCGATATTTCGCTGTGTTAGACTTGCACTCCGAATAATGGCAACTACCTAGCAAGGCGGAGGACCGGGAGAAAACGGCGCTTACGTTTGGGGCCGCCCAGTATCATTTTTGACGAATACCGTTTGGCCTATCTGGGGCACCATTCACATTTCGCCGCCTGAGGCATCGCTTGACGAAGGGACTCCAGAGTTTTGGCGTGTACGGAGACGATATCGTCGTGTACAGCAATTCGGAACCGGAAAACGCAGTTCACTTGAAGGTTGTATTGAAGCGGATCCGGGAGGATGATCTGTGGATAAATGAAGATATTACACAGCCCGCGGGAAGTTCGGTGTCACAGCTGGTTCATAAATTGTGTCACGGATAATTTAGCACACTGCCGAAAAATTGCGAGAGATCAAGTATTGTGACGTTCCAAATTCAAAGCAATCTTTACGGTAGTATCTTGTGTGAGCAGACCACTACAGCCGGGGGGTTAAGGACTTCCACACGATCACTGCGCCCCTGTACGACTTGCTCGGGCAAAATGGGAAATTCGACTGAATCGGAGAAGATTTTTAGCGTGTCAAAGCAAGGATGTTGTATCAGCAACTGACCATCAAACTGCCCAGGTTCGGAGAGGTATTCACTGTTGCAACGGACGTCAGTGATCGCGGGATCGTCGCAGTACTAAAGTAGAAGAATATGGGTATCGAATAAGCCAGTGGCGTCCTGACTCACGCTGAACAGAAGTACTCCACCATTGAGAGGGAATGTTTAGCGATATTCTGGGCCCCCGATAAGTGGAGGTGATATGTTTTGGGCAAATGTTTCATGTCGAAACCCATCACAACCCCCTGTAGTGGATCAGGACCACCAGAGATCGTCGCGGGAAGTTCGCGCGCTAGGAGCTGCGGTTAAAAAAGTACGGCTTCACAATCCACCACGTGCCAGGGACGGGGAACTACTTGGCTGATTGGCTGTGAAGAGCAGATGCTGAAGATGTTGTCCCCATGATCATGATTGAAGTCAGTGATCTCATCGTCAATCTGGGTACCGCAAAGTTGGTGCAATTCCAACAGTAGGATCTTCTGTTTCAAAAGGTTGCAGCCGCCTTATAGGATGGAAGGAACACTGAGAACGGATAGGAGGACAAGGAACTAGAAGCGTTCTAGAGTCACTCTGATCTGCTGAGGCTAAATGAAGCTGGCATAATTTCCTGGAATGCCACTGATTCAGATGTTGTGCTGGCCGTGATACCTCGCGTCTTGAGACACAATCTCATCGTTGAATGCCATGAGATTGCACATACAGGGTACACTAAGCTATACGACCTACCTCGGCAGAGGGCCTACTGGCCCGAGATGAGATGTGAGGTGATGGATTATGTGGTGTCCTGTAAGCGTTGTCACCTAATGAAAGCGGATACGACAGGGGCAACCCATCCCATGAAACCCTTTTTTCTCAGAAATCGGCGAGTTGTGTGTCAGTTGACGTCACTGGCCTGTTTCCGGTGACAACCAGTAGGAATCAATATAACTTGCTAATGACAGAACAAGTGTCGCGATGGATTGAAGCTGCAGCCGTGCCTAATCAGCGATCGACGACAATCAGCGGAGAGGCAATGCATCACATCGTGGCCAACCATGAGATGCCAAAAATGATCCTGAGCAATCACGGAGCTTGCTTCGAAAGGGAAGAGTCTAGGATTCGTTTGCAAAAGCTGGGTATCAGACGGCTAAGTACGGCATCATACCACCCTTAAACCAATGGCCTAACCGAACGTATTAATCGGACGATCAAGGAGTAGCTGGCGGCCAAACGAGCTGACTGGGAAGTGAACGTGACAATTTTGTTGCTGCTGAAGCCGACCTGACGGAGATAAATGTAATCGATGGCATGCACACCAGCTTAAAGTGGTGGAGGTTTGTCACGGTGATACTACCGATGAGGGAGCAAGCGATTACTACGTGTTGTTCGTAGGATTTTTCTTTGCGTCTTTTGAAAAGTGGAATGGAATGGCTAAAGTCAATGAATCTTAAGGATGGTTCAAGAAGACGTGTTCGGGAGAAAATGGGTGTCCAGTTTTTGTAAGTAAGATACAAATTAGAATTTTCCATCCCTGTTCAATGGTCTTTAACCCGTCAGTTGGCATTTCCTAAAATAACTCCGCAGTCAATGTCCTCTTTCTCTCACTAGTAATGATAATGGTACTAATGTGCATTGAATTACTTACTGTTCTGCAAAACCCGCGATCCAAATATCCTTGTAGCTCAGACGTTTGCATTGGGTTCACGCTAAATTAATTGGATGGTAGTTCATCAGATTTTATCCGGAAACTCTTGTTACTTAGAAGCAATCAGTATTTGAAACATGGCTTCGCAATGTTATTTATCAGTCCTTTGGCCTTGACAGCGTTACCGATCCATGTATAAAACAAGGAGGCGAAACCGATCTTGGGCTATCGAATAATTTTCAGGAAATTTGTGGGTAGTTTCTATGATGGTCTACTTAGTGAGGTAGGAATCAGTGGGAATCAATACAACTTGCTAATGACAGAACAATTGTCGCGATGGATTGAGGCTGCAGGCGTGCCTAATCAGCGACCGACGACAATGAGCGGAGAGGTGATGCATCACATCGTGGCCAACCATGGGATGCCAAAAAAGATACTAAGCGATCTGGGCCTTTATTCGAGAGGAAAATGATTCTTAATTGCTTGCAGAAGGTGGGCATCAGACGGCTAAGTACGGCACCATACCACCCGCAAACCAATGGCTCGACCGAAAGTAATAACCGAACGATCAACGAGTGGCTCGAGGCCAAACGAGGTGACTGTGAATAAAGGAGGTGACTGGGAATTGAGCTTGCCAATGGTGTTGTTATCTCATCCTGATTTCACGCACCTAATCACAGGCAAGTCCCCGTTTATGTTAGTGTACGATCGACATCCGAGCCTTCCGATTGATCAGGAGATTGGGTTTTGGCCGGAGACACACTTGTCTCTGGAGGAGCTAGAGGAAGAAATGAAGAGAGCTCGAGAATGTCTGACCGCCGTTCTGGAAAGGACTAGGCAGAAAACTGCAAGTAGAATTGTCCGAACGTTCCCCATAGGCACGAAGATCAAGTGGAAGGATCACCAGAATCCAGGAAGGAGTGGACTTGGGTCGCAGAAGCTGGGCAGTCAATGGCAAGGGCCGTTTATAGTCATCGACGGCCTGGGGAACGTCCACATCATTCAAGATGGTCGGGGATGGAAAGTAGTGAATGGGACGCAGCTTCGCAGTTGGCATGATACACCCGAATTGCGGTTGAGTAGACCCGCTACCGAAGCCGACATGACGGAGGTAAATGAAAATCGATTGGATGCGAGCGAGCTTTATGGGAGGCAGTTGTGTCAACGGCGATACTAGTGATCGGGAGGCACGCGAATAACATATGTTGTTCGTAGAATTTCGCTTTGCATTGATCGAAAAAGCGAATTCTGTTGCAGAATTCGCGGGGCCACTTTGTAACCTTTGCTTGAATCTGACCGACGAATGATTAGAGTCAATGAATCTCCAGGAAGACTCGTTCGGGAGAAGATCTGTGTCCAGTTTCTGTAAACAATAAGCAAACTGGAGTTTTGCTTCCCTGTTCATTGGTCTGTAACCGGTCATTTGTCATTTCCGAATAAATGACTGCGCAGCGAATGCCTTCTTTCTTTTACTGGTAGTCACATTTCAAGTTGAGATTTTTAATACATGTTTGCTTCGAAACTATTCATACTTGTATGCTCTAGGCTAAAAATACATATATATCTCGCGCGGTCCTTGTTGATGTGGGCGGAGAATGGCCGCCTGCCACCCTACTTCAATGTCTCATCGTCACCAGCAGTAAACTTCCAGTTTGCTATATTACATTCGTTTGTTGTGTGAACCGTGGCATTGACGTTTTTGCTTCATCCTTGGTGGTAAGAATGCAATTTTGTGAACGATTGC